CCCTAAACCCCAAACCCCCAAGCTCCAAACCCTAATAAAGCTGAAGCAACCTCCAGGAATTCACAGGGCTTTTACAGCTTCGGGCTTCGGTAAGCATAAAATTAGGAGTTAGGATTAAGGGAACCATTGAGGATATAGACCCTCTCACCAACGTCCGTTTTGAGACAGCCAAAAGTAGGGTTTTAGGGTTTAGGGCAGGGTCTAGGCTTTAGGGTTTAGGGTAGGGTTAAGAAGGGTCCCCTTTTAAGGGGTCTCCCTAATACTACGTAGGAAAAATATGGTCTGTCTGCAGTTTCCCTCCCCAGACCTTCCAAAACCCTTTTATCTAAGGAATAGACCGTAACTTATAGTAGGATCCCTCGTATGATTGATAAGGAAAATGCCTTCATTCGAGGATTTTGGGTGGTCTGGGACACTTTTTGTAATTCTGTCTGCAGCTTGACTCCCTTAACCTTGATTTTGTGACCGCTATAACAATGCTTCGTGACGCTGCCAGCAGGATTGCATGGCCACATCGTTGAGAAGGGTCTCGTGCTCCTCGTCCGTCATCTTGGGATTCGGCGCCACTCCCACCAGCGTTCGGCCAGTAGCTGGCGACACTGTACGACGCGAGACTGCGATTGCGCTTGTGCCAATCAGCTTTGTCGACTTGCTGCACTGCCCGCACTGTTCATAGGCCTGTAGCACTGAGAGGCACTTCTGGCATCCACAACGTGGCACGTCAGTAAGGCTCAAGTACGGGCTGCCGCCGTCGAAGAAAACGCTGGGCTCACCATCATCCGCTTGGACAAACCGCCGCTGCTGCTCCTCCTCTGTGAGCGCCATCCGAGATTGAACCTTGATTTCTTTAAGTCCTAGCTTGTCTCCCTCGTATATTCTGGGGGCTTTAACGGTCAGAACAAGGTTCTGGGGTATGTTATACGATGTCTATGAGAGGACTGTACAAGGATAGCACACTGAAACACCCTAAACCCCAAAAAGCCCAAATCCCTAAACCCTAAACCCCTAACCCTAAACCCCCAAAATCCCTAATTCCCTACACCCCAACAATCCCTAAACCTGAACCGCAGTACACCGTCCTAGAACTTGTGGTTATCTCTCCATAACACCTGCTGAACCCTATAAAATTTTTGTAGCAGCCTGGGAGGGCCCTCGAAGGTGTAGGTTTAAGGGTTTAGGGTTTAGGGTTCAGGGTTTAGGGTTTAGGGTTTAGGGTTTAGGGTTCAGGGTTTAGGGTTTAGGGTGTAGGGTTTAGGGTTCAGGGTGCAGGGTTTAGGGTGTAGGGTTTAGGGTTTAAGGTCGAGGATTGTAGACCCCGGTGCTTCTGTTGTTTTCAGTTTGGGCTCCGGACAATGCTCTAACTCCGAACCTTGCAGGGATAATGTAGGGGCGTTCATAATTAGACTGAGGTTTTCGGGGACTCCTCATTTATATTTATAGTATAATATACCCCAAAGCCCTAATCTAATTATTCAGGCCCCTAAATTCGCCGCTTAGTTTAGAGTTTGTCTTGAAAGCGAGTCGGCGATCCGACAAATGAGGGCTCCTCTCGGATTCGAAGAGTGATTCACTCTCTTGCGGTTTCAGGAGGGGCTCTAATTTAGAGAACTGCGCAGATGCGAATGATGCTAATGACACTTAAAATATACGAACAACACTGATAAGACGTATAATGTTAAGACTACTAACCCTAAACCCTAAACCCTAAACCGTTAACCCTAATAGTGCTAACTCAACATCTGCAGCAAAACCCGGCCCCGTAGCCTTAAGAGCGGCTCTGAAGCCGTAGGACACTAGAAGCTACTGGCTTTGGGAACACTGAGCCTAAACCCTAAACCCTAAACCCTAAACCCTAAAGACTAAACCCTAAACCCTAAACCCTTGGATGTTTTGGGTTTCGGGCTTAGGTTCGGGTTTAGGGCTTTTGGGGGTTTAGGGTATAGGCACAGGGCTTGCGCTGTTACGGGTCGGGTTTAGGGCGTTTTGGATTTTAGGGTTTAGGGCATTTTTGATGTTTAGGGTTTGAGGCTTTTTGGCTGTTTAGGGTTTAAGGCTTTTTGGCTGTTTAGGGTTTAGGCCTGTTTGGGGTGTGGATGTTGGGCGCTGTTGGAAACGCTATCCCCTGCAGGCTTTGCCCCGCACCTCATCAATCACCAAGAGTGTAGCAAACACCCAGCGATTGCAGGCATCAATGTCCTCAGCCACGGTTTAGGGTTTAGGGTTTCAGGAAGCATGATACATACCCGATTGTTGTGGAATCCGGGTATCTGTGTTTTGTTTTCAACACCACACTGCTGGGTTCGAGATGGCAATGCCTCTCAAGCTTAGGTTGGAATTCATGAGGGTAGTTCTCTAAATTGGGGTCCCTTTTAGAGTCCTTGTTGTAAGGGTGCCGTATTATATCGGGGATCTAAAAAGGGTCCCTAATTTAGAGAACTACCCATGAGTAGTTTGGCATTCCCTCTACACTCTACAGCCCTAGCAAGGTTGGGGGCTTCCTGAACAGAGAGGTTCTTGACTTAGAGGCCTCTGCAAGCGCGTTTTCTGGGGTCCCTGTTAGCGCGCAACTGTTCGAAACTTCCCGAAGTAATTTGTCGCTCCTGTTTGGATCTGGGCATTTGGGGCTTGCCATTCTGGTTTAAGCCAGGTTAGGTTTGAAAGTACTGGAGCCCTAAACCGTCCAAGACTCACACCTAAACCGTCAATGCGAAGCCCGAAGCCGCAAACCGCAAAGCCCAAGCCAAACCCGCACGAGAGAATCACATGCTCCCCTAGAGCCCTAAACACGAACCTACAACTCTACAGCTGGAGTCTACTCATAAGGTACTAACCGTAGCCCTAAGCCCTCAATTCTGAAGCGCATGGCTAGTTAAACCCTTAAGGCACCCTTGTGGACCCGATACGTCTTACCTAAAACCCTAAATCCTAAACCCGAAGCTTTGCTCTCCGAGGCCCCTTGCGGCGCAAACTCGCGCGACAAGCTCCGCAGTCGATCCATTCCCCTGAGAATTGCCATACATACAGTTGATGATCTACATCCTGGCATTAGGTTAAGGACCCCCAAACTATGGGAACTATGGTATATTCCTCATTATGGGCAGGATTTATACCATCAACAGTAGGGTTTAGGGTTTAGGACATGCAGTTTTATATTATTTAGGGTTGAGTATTTGGTGTTGACTTGAGGTTACATATTGATCGTTGTATCATACTGTATGACATTTCTGTCACAGCACGAACAGCAGCTTTTTGGACATTGCCATTGTCAACTTAGTATATGACCGCCTTTTCTGTGAGTGAACCCTAAACCCTGCGCCCTAAAACCCTCAAAGAAAACTCGTCGTACCCTAGACGGAACCCGAACGACCCTTAAACAATAATACAGGGACCCCCCTGGTCCAAGCACACACCCAAAGCTTATTCCAATTCTTGAGGATATTGTACTAGAACCTATCAGATTATACAACCCATAACGAACCTAATCGAATCACTGAATCCTAGACCCGGAAACATAAAAGCTACACCCTAGACCCTAAACTCGAAAAGTCCGAAACCCTAAAACCCCAAAGCCTAAATCCGAAACCCCCAGCAGATTATACTAGATGAGGCCATGAGCTTCGGACATTTTCAGGTGGGTAGTTACCGTTGTAGGAGCCTTATAGAAGGTCTATATACCTTATGGAAGCCTTATAGAAGCCCTACATACCCGACACTCCCCACCTGTAGTTTCCTAAACCCCTAAACCCCTAAACCCTAAACCCCTAAACCCCTAAACCCTAAACCCTAAACCCTAAACCCTAAACTCCTAAACCCAAACTCCCCACCTGTAGTTTCCTTTAACATGAGCTTCGGACACGACCGATGCCGGCCCAGGAGTGAAGAGTCGTTCCACCAATCTGAAGGGCCTTTGGGTTTAGGGTTTAGGGTTTAGGGTTTAGGGTTTAGGGTTTAGGGCCACCAATCTGAAGGGCCTTTGAAAGGCTCCGGGCTTTGTTTTTGGGGGTTTAGGGTTTAGGGCTTAGGGCTTAGGTTTTAGGGTTTGGGGTTTGGGGTTTAGGGTTTAGGGTTTGGGGTCTGGGGTTTAAGGTTT